GTGACATTTTTATTTGCAGTGTTACTCAAAATGGGCCGGATTCCAAACAGCAGCTTTAGCTTTAGATTACAAGAGAATGCTGCATTAGAACCACTGGAACTGATCTCCAGTGAAGCTAAAGCAAAACAGGTATTCAGGTACAACATACAAACACAGGCAGACTGGCGTAAAGCACATAGACGATAAAGTAAACATAGATGTTACAGTTTCTATACTCAGTATCATCTCCTCATAGTAGTTTTGACACTTTGATGGTGAAAATTAGTTGTGAAATCGAATGTCTTGTCGCACCAGCTATGATCATCAGGTAAGCAGTGCTTGCAAAACATCTTTTCTGGAAACACACTCCAGCATCTGCAAAGAAACATGCACTATGCATGTATATAGTGTTGTACTTATGTTGCTTTTCCTCTGTGTATATTGATTTCTGTACTTTTGCACTTTTGTGGTCTTGCTAATATCGCTGTGCAAGCAACTGTACAATGACAAAAATAGTTCTAAGTTTTTCTATCAAAGCTACAGTGTGCACATTGAATGGGTATCTGTGTTTAGCCATGTGCTGTCAGAAGTGATTAGAAAGAGTAAACACTCGTTGTGGACTTAGATTCAGGAACCCTGTTGAGCATTGACCTTTGCTATCTCTGTGACACCCAGGCCCTTCACCTCTGGTGATGAGGTTGTTGTTTGCTCATTCTCGTGTCTTTCACGGACACTTTCTCTGTAAAATTGCTTGCTGCGCTTGTCCGCAAATCAAAGCGTTGGCACACGAAGACAGAAGAGCGTGTGTCTATTTCACGGGTCAGTTTAAGCAGCTACTGGAGCAAAATGTAGTAAAAAAGAAAAAAACGTAAACAAAATCCAAACAGTTCAAAAAAGAGGAAAAGAAAGAATTTCAACACAATAAAAACAGAAGAACTTTTGGTTTTCGCCCGTTTTCTACTCTCCTCTGTAATGTGAGTGTTTGAGCTAATGTTGAGCCACCTAAGATAATAAAGTCTGAGTCACTTTTCCAGGGACAGAAAACAGTATTTGCTTGTAAAAGAGGGGGGAAAAAGTATGAAAAGCAAAGGCAGCCACAGTTTCACTAAAGACCACTGTGTGGCTTATCCATTAAAGGGAAAGGCATTAAATAGTGATGGTGTTGACTGGATGGTGACATCAGGCTCTACAAACAAAGCCAGCCAGCAGGAAATTAGATGCAACCAATTGACAGTTTTATTTGAAATTTATCAGCTAAATTTAAGGTTGAACCCAAATGAACTTTAACCTAAATTTCTGGCTTCTAGATGCCAAATTGCTCAAATCAGTGATTTTTCGCCTATTTTGTGAATCACTGGCTGTAACAAGATTGCAGGTGTGAAGAGAAACCTGTTCAAACCTGTTAAACTGTGTCAGGGTTGAAGGCTGTAGAGTGTTGACGTTTTCGATCAATTACCCAAATGCAGGCTAGTCAGGGCAAATCAGTTCTAAAGAGTCAGTCTGTAGCAAACAAGGTGAGCCTTGAGAGCCAAGAGAGTTGCACAGGCTTGGTTAAAATGACTCAGTGTTAATATGAGGTCAGAAAATGATGTGTTATATCATCCTTTTTTTGTACAGTGAAAGATGTGTACTTGTGTAAATCATCTGATGTGAGATGTGTCCCTGTTTTTGTGCCCCTCAGCCATCTCTGTTAATCATTCCTGTGACGGGTCTGTACATGAAACTCAAGGATAAAGGGGTTTAGTCTTGGTGTAAACAAAAAGAAAGGATCCAACCTCGCGAAAAGACAAGGTTTACCTGAACCAAAAAACAAACAAACCAGATATCCAGTGAGGCGTCCTATCATTGTAGTTGTATTTGGTGCTGTTCAGATGCTGTAAACCCACCTGGGTGGTCTCAAATATTTAACAGCCTTTTGAGTGCTGCTCAAAAGTATTGTAAAAAAAAGTGAAAGCAGAAATATGTGTGTGCTTTGTAGGCGCCTCAGTCCAAAGAAATCCCAAAGAAATCCACCACCGACACCACACACACATGCAGCCCTGATGTTGTCAAACTGCCCCTCCTCCTCAGTCCTAAACTCCACTTCCTTGGTACTGTTTTGTAGTAAATTATAAAAGATGTTCCCACTTAGCTCAAATCCTCATCTGTGAAGAGTTGACAGTAACAGTGAAGTGAGTATAGCTAACCCTCTATCAGATTCCACCTTATATATGTGAGTGTGTCATAATGAACAGGAGAGGAGAACGGCTGCTTTTGCGTTCAACGACGCAGGACAAGTTTAAAGTGAGCAGCATTTACAAAAGGGGTCACAAACTACCACTATCCAAATCAGAATATGTTAACCAGATTGCCACCTGATTCTAACGAGTGGCACAAACAGGAATCACATATCAGCTCAGTGTTATCTAAACGGTGAGCAAATCAATATTGCACCAATTCAAAGGAAGCAAGAGTCTCTTAATGTGGGACTACTTTAAAGTCATCCTTTGTGCGTAAGTTCCCCGTCAGATGCAGACAGCTCTCCCTTGTCGGTTATTCAAAGGAGGCGGGGTCCAGTTGCACTGACTGAGTGTTGCAGGGTATCTGAGAAGCAGATATGCCCTTTTAAAAAGTTTGAGGAGACTCTCAGGAGAAGCCACTTCGGACTTTTACGCATCGAGCGTCCATGGATGGAAAGGGGACCGAGAAGGCACCGACAGGAGCCAACATGAGCAATAGATCCTTCCCTATCTCTGACCCGATATGTCAAACGGAGGACGCTCCTTTCGCCATGGATGTCATCCGCAGTGAGTAAAGCGGGTTCCGCACGGCAGATTTGCCCGTTTTCACGGTTCCCCCCCAAGAGCTCCCTACGAGCAGCAAGAGTAGATCCACGGGAATTTTAATTGGTGGGAGGGTTTTTGTGCACCACTGGGTCGCAGTGCCCTGGCAACGGTGGCGGAGCAGAGAAACTAAACTGCTGGTTGTACTTCATTAGGACTTAATGGGATTCCTGGAAGTCTTTGAACCACACTGGGGAACGAAAGACTGAAGTTGTGCTATGTTGCTGCCCCTTTGCAGCACGATGGTCACTACTTTGAAGTGAGGATTTTTCAGACATATGAAATAAAACAAAATAATTATATTATATTATATTATATTATATTATATTATATTATATTATTTAAGCTCAGTTTGACGCTGTCTCAGAGCCAGGCGTGTGCCAACATCTGCTCGGTTTTTTCCCTACCACTGAAGTGTACAGCAAGTGATCTTTTAGTACAGTTACAGACTCCCCCTCATTCGCTTTACATTACTGTAACCCATCTGCGAACAATTAGACAAACCGCACAGCAAAGGTAAACTGTATTCCCTCTAAAACTTTCTACAGATGTGGAGTTAATATTGTTATTGTAATAACAATATCCCAATAATAAGAGCGTGAAAGTGTGAGCCATGTTTACACTTTCAGTTTTATTCTGTGGATGGCTTCCATTTGGCCCGAGGGCGTTTTTTTTTTCTTTTCTTTTCTTTTTCTTGATTTTTTTTAAAAAAAAAATTCTTTTTTGAAAAACGTGTTTATTATTTTAATGTGTTTAATGTCTGTTTTCGATCATGCGCACTGCTACACATGATCAGCAACGAGACACACTAAAATAAACAATATTTTGCCCAAATTTCTGACTTTAACTAAATATTTACGTGTAAATCTTCTTTGTGGTTTGCTTACATAAGAACAGTCTTAACTATTACATTTAATGGGATCTAGTTACATTTAAATTTACCTGATATATATTCAGTTTATACTAAGCTCATTTTCCTTAATTATTTTTATGAATTAACCTTCGATTCTACGCTAAATTATTGCTGCATCCTTTTTGTTGAAACTTCAGTTTTTTATTTTTTGTAGCGCTGAGATAAATGTTCTTCAGACTGCATGTCTCAGTCAGCAAATGTGCTACAAATATGTGTAACATTACGTTAGAAAATGAAACCAGATGATTGGCCAGTGGGTAATGTTGTTGTTGTTGTTGTGGTGTTGTTGTTGTTGTTGTTGTTTAAATTCAATCTCAAAAATCAGCCCCAAAAATCAAGGATTGATTGCAGGAGAGCGTAAAACCGTGTGGCCTCGTCACCACTTTGCTGAATTATCCAGACGGTGCCACATGCATGTCTGGCTCATCGTATGGTAGCTTGAGTGGTCAAAGAGAACACTTAAAATACCGCTAGAATTTGTGATTTATGCTCCAGATTTCAGTCACTGTCTGCCTCATCGCAAACAAATAAACGAACGAATGTCTCTTGTCTATCCTGTGCGCTCAAAACCATGAACAGAGAAGAAATGACACATATTACGAGAATCGTCTTAATTATATCAGCATGCCGGAACTTTTACTCAGCCCTTCCTCCCATTCTTGTTCAGACACAAACCGGATTGTAGATTTCTTATCACACACTGTTCTTTCTGTGAAAAATCAGTTTGAACAATTCAGCCGTAATTACGCTTTCTAGCTGCTGGTTTCCAGCTGCTGTGGATGTTTCTGCAACTTACACTTTGCCCCGCATTGCTACTTTCCACTGTGCATAATCCTGCCCACATGCATGGCACCTTGTTTCAGAATCATTAACCAACTTACAAGAAGCTTACCTACTGCTGTTTCATTTTACGTCTGTGATGGCACTTATGTTTATTGACTACAAAGTAAGTTCTGCTAGCACAAAGATGAATATCAACAGCCTAACAGTGGGCAAAGCCACAGGAGCTTGGTTTGGTCTGGCAGTATTTGGCTTTAGTTTATTTGAATGGTTGTTGAATCATTTTAACAGAAGCCCACAAATATATTAACCTAGTAATACACTCCCCCATTAACCCCCCATTGCCAGGATTTAACTAAGCAAACAGATAAGAGCCTTCCACTGGACAGTTACTGCAGCAATGATTCACCTCACAACAGCTGAATTCAGCACTGAGTTCTCATTTCTTCAACATCTGTGTCAGTAGGCATATCCTGTGGTCGCGGTAAAAGATGTTTATCATTTTCAGAAGAGTCAAAATGTTGGCCTGTGTCAAGCAAAGAAAACGCCCAAGATTGCTGAAACTATTAAAACTGGGTTAACTCTCTGACACACTATTAAAACTAGGAAAGATAGCGGTGATCAAACATCTAGAAATCAACTGTAGAGCTCACATTTGAGCTCACGTTTATGAAAATGAGAGCATTTCAATATACAATATGAAGAAAACTCAACAAACTGGGATTAAACAGCTGTGAGCCTTAAGAAAAGCACTTATCAGTGAGGCTTGAAAAAAAAAGCCTTACTGAGCATAAAGGTTGGCATCTGGAGTGATGTGAGAAGATCATGTAGTCTGATAAAGATTAAAGTGATGGGAGCATCAGTGTCAGAGGAGAGCTGATGAAGCAATACTCAGCTGTCATGCCTGGTGTCTACCGAACAAGCCTGAGCAGTGCAGTGGGTGATGCTGTGATCTGGGGCTGCGTCAGCTGGTCGGGTCTTGGTTCATCGGTGTAATAAGGCCAAAAAACTGAGCTCAGTTGACAATATGAATATACTGAATCAAACAGGCACAGGCATATTTAGATTCAGACAAAGCCAGAATTCACTGGGCTCAAATTGTGCAAGAGTGATTCAGGGAACATGAAATATCACGTTTCTCTTCGGCCCACTGAGAACCTTTGGGACATCCTGGAGGAGACTTTGGGCAGCAGTCACACTTGACTGATCTCTTTGACATCAGAGGGCTCTTGTGGTTTACAGGATCAAACCTAATTGGACTTTTTCCTCTAAACAGCATGCGAGCACTTAGCTTCTCATGTTGCCATATCAGGGTAACACTTTGATATAACATTTTCAGCTGCAGGTAGTATTTTGAGCAAATGGTAAAAATATATCAGCAACAATACCCATGAGGAGAATCAAGTTTACATTTTATTCGCCACATGCAGTGACAGGTTGCCTTGCAGTGGAACGAACCCGTCCCCCGACCTTACGCACACAACACAGACATCACACGGGGATATAAGTGAGTGCTTATCAGTGTGTGCGTGTCCATAGTTCAGCTGACGAAGATCACATCGACCATCTCAGATTTAATGAAAGCAAATTTATTTTCCTTTTCCTTTGTTAATTTCAGGGTTTGGTGTCTTTGACTACATCCTGTATGGCATCTTGACCTTCATGGCAACAGTTTCTTTGCTGGTCTTCTTAGAGGAATGTATCTACATCTATAGGAAAGTACCTGCCAATAAGAAGAGTCTCATCATTTGGGTGAATGGAGCAGCACCGGTGAGAACAGTTTGCAGAAAAGAAACAGATGACACAAACGTATACCTGGATCTTTAATTGACGCTTGTCTCATTTTTTCAGGCGATTGGCACCATGTCATGTCTGGGGATGTGGTTCCCCAGAGCTACCCTGTTTACTGATATGTTCTCTGGCTGGTGGGTTTTTATTTCTTTTCCCCACTCGTCCCTTCTCTTTTACTCACCCTCCGTTTCCCACTGTGCTGTGTGTCTCTCTGACCAGCAGAGTCCTGCTGTGAAAGATAATAGTGAAACCTGAACCTCAGAACCTACAGAAAAACTGAAAACAGGAGTGCTGTTAAGTACTGTGTGACGTGTCATTTACTTTTCTACTACTCTTCCTGAGCCCTCCTCCAAAAACCTCTTTCTCTTATTCTTCCTACGTTCCTAGATTTCATTCCCATGTTCCTTGTTTCCATTTACCTGCCTCTCGTCCTCTTCTTTCACCGTAGTTACTTTGCCATCGTGGTGTTCAAGTTCCTGATCCTGATGGTGGAAGAGTTGGGTGGCGACGAGGCGTTTCTGAAGCGTGCAGGAAAATATAAACTGAAGATCAGCACGGGGCCTTGTTGCTGTTGCTGCTGTTGCCTGCCAGAGGTGGCCATCACACGGTAAATCCACAAGTGACACCGTCACTTTTCTGCTTTAGTTTTCTGTCGTGTAAGCTGAAAGCAAATCTACTTGTTTTTTAAAACGCAAATGACTAACTTCTGGAGAGCACTCAGCAGATGCATATCTTCAGAATAGTCACTAAAGCTGATGATGATGATGATGGACGTCTTCCGATCTTGGTTTTTTGTTATTCTTGGCAAAAGAGCCTTTTTCTTTGGTAGATTTTTTTCCTCCTTGGTAGGTAGGGGCGGAGGGGGCTTTAAGGCTATAAACACCAGATTAAATAAACTAGATTAAACCTCATGGCTAAGTTTGGCTTTTAAAGGAGCATGTCAACATCCGCAAAAGTTCTCTGAAAGCAGTCAGAGAGATCTGAAAGCAATTTTGCCAGTGCAATCAAGCATGAGCTCTCGTGTTTGCTTGTAGTCCAGGCTTATTTTATTGAAGTTTTACGCATAAGGAAGAATAGCCTTGAAATGGCGCGTAGTTTCTATTTATTTACTGTCCACATTTAATAGTTCCAGCGAAGGGTGGTCAGTTTCCAAATATGTTTCCACCGATGCTTTGATATTGGGCAATTGCTCGAGAACAGGCAGATGGCAACAACCTGGAATGCTAATGAAGCACAGACCATGGCGGGTGGCTTTGAAGTAGTTTGCACCCCCGTTCAAACATTACACAAACACAGAGCCTCTTTGCATAGAGCATTGAATTCACACTAGAGCTTCAGTCTGGTTCTCAGAATCCAGGTTGCACTACTGGTCATTCAACTTGTTCGGGGTGGGGCAGCATTTACAGAACAGACATATCACCCCCCTGTTTTGCAGAAAAAAGCCAAGTGGCACCATGTGTTGCAATGGACTTTCTGATTTGGCCATTTTAATCAGATACAGGAGTCGCACACTGGTTTGTCTGTCTGTCTGCAGAATGCATTATCTGAACAGAGCTGACCTGGCGTCCCAGTTCAGTTTCATCCCTTAGAGAAGTGCCGATCTATGAACGCATTACTATTGAAGCCTAAAGATGATGACCAGACAGAACAGCCGCTGCAATTAAAGTTCACAGTTAATGGCGATAGAAATGTTCGCTCCCAGTTCTGCTAATATGAACTTGATTGTAGTTTCAGTGTATAGAAAGGATAGATTCCAGGCCAAAGATCAAAAAGACCAAGGGGTCTAAACAAATAAGAAAATGGGTGAACATGCCACATATTTGGCCACACAAGCATTATCTTCTTCCCACGTAGTTTCTTGGAATGAGGCCACACTGTTGCCAGGCAGTGACAGGCAAATGTGCAAAGTTAACAAAAATCCTTTTAAAGCCTTCATTCTGCATTGCAAGATGATGACAATCAAGCCAGGGCATGCTCAGCTACTTATACTGTGCCCCGTTTTTATGTTTAAAAAAGCCCCACTAATGCACCTCAGAAGCACAATGTTGTTTTGGTTGCGTAACCGCAGTCAAATCTTGACATGCCAGCAGCACACAGAGATGTGTCCTGATCCACTCTTTATTGCTCCAGACATCCTGAAGTAATGTTCGAGGGCAGGTGTAGTGGAACTGCACAATGAACTTTTTGTGTTTTTTACTGTAAATCAGAGGTTAGATTATTCCGGGTCATCAGCAGATAATGAAATGGTTTCCTCTGTTTCGTCTCCAGACGCTCTCTCTTCCTGCTCAAACTTGGCTCCATCCAGTTTGCCGTCCTGAAGACTGCCTTCACCATCTTTTCCATTGTTCTCTACACCAACGACAACTACCATGTGAAGGATGTGAGTTGAAAGCACAGAAATGTAAACAACTATCTCTCCAAATACAAAGCCAATTCTGAAACAGTTGGGGTGGTGTGTAAAGATTTTAAAATCTCACAAACAAATTTAATATTCACAATAGAATATTTTAAAAAGACATCAAATTTCTTAACCGTACCATTTTAGAAAAAAAAA